AAAAATTTTCCTAACAATATTTCAAATTAAAATAAGTTTTAAAATTTTTAGTTGTTTTCTTTCATTACTTATCCGACCCAGCACGCTTGTCCACTAATAATCAAAAGTTCTTATTGCAAACGAAAAAATAAAGTTGGAAAAATCATTTTTTTTTGTTGCTAATTTTAAAATTTTCCCGTAAAAAATAATAGAAATTCAGAAAAATTGATTTTGCTTTAAGAATTTCCAAACTTTTAGCATTTTTGTAAAAAAAAATATTGTTTTTTATTTTCTTTTGTGTTTATATTTTTTTGTACCTTTAAATCCTTGTGTTTGGAAAAGTTTCCTAATTTTTTTTACAGTGAAAATTTGACGTCTTACTGTTTAGTTTACCGTAAGCATTTGAGAAAAATTTCGTTGTTATTTAATTGTTTGTTTCTTTCTTTTCTTTTTTTCTTTTTATAATACAAATTTATTTGAAGTTTATTTTGATTTTAAGTAACTGACAATGTGGAACATTTATATAATATTATAATACAGGGTGATTTACACTTCTATAACTTTTAATGATTACCGAATTTGCGTAATGTGACAATATTTTGGGTGGAATGGTGCCGAAAATGGCAAAAGCGAATGAACATTGAAAATTTTTAAACTTCTTTATATCTGAACTCAAAATAAAAATTACCCGTAAATGCAACAATTGAACATAGAAATTTTTTCAACCATTTAAACTGGAATCTTAATTGATTTTTTCACGAATAACCTGAAAATTTATGAAATTTTTAGATCTGAAAGTTTTTGCATAATGAAATTCTTTACAAAATTTCAATAAACCAGTTTTGTATATTGAGTTATCCTTGAATTTTATAACGCTTACTGCGGATATTAATATCATTTCAGTTTGCAACATTAAAAATAAAACCGACATTATATCCTTATGGAATTAAAAGCCTTAAAGGTTCAAGGTTAAGGTTTATATGTGTAGAATTACAAAAATTTTCAATTTTTAGTTTTAACTTTGAATAGAAAAATATTGCCAATAATTATTGAAATCGTAATTAAAGCAATTCTTGAGAATCATCATAAATAGTTGGTTTATTTAAATTGCCAAAGTTCAAAGTACAATTTCATACAAAAAAAGAAAAATATTGTAAACTTAAAAAAAAAAATTTAACGTGATTTTATTTAAATAATTTAATTCACATTTGCAGCTTTTCCTTTCAATGTGGCAAAAAGGGCTATACAAAACATATTGTATGTGTTCCACGATTGTCTGTTAATATTTCAAAAGAAAATTCTTAAAGCTCTTAAATAATTCAGTTGCAGTACTATAAATGAAAAAATAAAGCGTTTGGTTTTTATTAAGAAAACAAAAAAAAAATTACAAGCATAAAAATAAGCAATAATAACAAAAAGAACTTGTTTTTAAACACTCCTTTTTATTTGCTTTAGTTTTATTTCTTTTATAATTTTTTTTTTTCTTGAAAAGGAGAATGATAAGAGAACAGTATTTCCATATACCTTTATATGTACGTGTATATGCTGCAACTAAAATGTCATGAACAATAAAGTGAAGAATGTAAAAGAAAGAAAAAACAAACACAATACTTTAATTATGTTGAGAAAATCCTTTTTTTTTCGCTGAAAATCTTCTTAAATAAGTAAAAAATTGTTGAGATTGTCAAAAGAAAGCTTTGTTTATTTTTTTGAATTGTAAATTAAAGTCTTTTCGATACGTTCATCTCATATTCGCTATTGCGGTATTTTTACGCAAATTAAATTTACCTTTTGTCCAAAATAAATATTATTTAGACTTTTGCTTTTTCTCCAAGAAAAATATTTAAGGATTTGAAAGGATTAAATTAAAATGATTTGTTTTCAAAATCTCAACAATATTAAATAATGTTGGATAATATTGACAAGATTTACAAAAAGCCAAGAAATAAAATTAATTGGAATATGAACGTAATTAAAACATTTGATGGACTAAGAAATTTCAAAAAAAAACAATCTTTAAAAATAAGCATTATTTATTCAGTGATTGTTTTAATTTATTTAGCTTCCTTAAGAAAACAAAGTTTAATGTTGAGAATAATTCATTTTATTGAATACAAAAACAGAAAGAGCAAAACTTTTGAGCAATTCTAACGTTTAGCTGCTGAAAGCTGTCCCAATCTTAGATGTTATTAAGAATGTACTTCAAATGTTTGCTCAACTAAATAAATATTATTGTTTAAATCTACAAGCACATACAGTAAATTCTTACTTATGAGAACTAAATGTAAGTGAAAACAGAGTCAAAGAATTGACTCTGTGTTGACAAAATAAAATTTTTGTTAAGTTTGAATCGTTAAATAAAGTTGCGCTTGATGGTTACTCTATTTCGCATGGGTCCGAAGTTGTAAGCATTTATTTATAAGCAGGAAAAAACTTCCAATTGGAAATTGATTAAAGAATCATCCTTGAAGTTATTTGCCATCAAGCAAAATATCTTATATAAATAAGTATTCTTTTGAATTGTTGGTTTCATTTCTAAATTCATATTAAAATGTACATTATATTGCATATATTTAGGCGAATTGAAAAAATTATATTGCATATATTTAGACAAAACATTTTCTTTTAGAATTTCTGTGTTGATTAGGTACAATTTTCTTGTGAAACAATTTTTTCAAATTCTAATGCAAATGAGAAATAATGAAACATTTTTGATATTTAAATATTTTATTGGATATTTTTCAAAAAACTTATTCCAATCAATAATATATATAACAATGCCATGGTTTTTTAAGAACTTGATTTCTTAAAGTTTTTGCATTATAAATTAAATAAATTGGAATCTAATCATTTTTTGTGATTAAATTTATATTTTTGTTTATTTCAGATACCATAACTACTATTTACTTTCATTTGACAATCATTGTTGAAAAAATATTTACAATTATTGTCAATTTTTAAATTATTTTTCTCAATGCTACAGGCAAAATTTTTCACAATTAATTTCTAAATAAAGAATCATAATTTTATGTGTATCAAATAATCAAAATAATTCATCTATATATAGAATATTTTGTAAATTAATAATTCCTTTATGTATATATGAAATGTTATTAACTTAGTGGAAATTTCTTCATACAACTGCAGAGCAGATGAATGACGTAATCAAAGCAGAGAAAAATTTTTCTTCTCGAACTGGATTCGAAACAGTTACATATCGCTTTCTAGGCGGACGCTCTGCCATCTGTCATCCATATGTTCTGCAGCTGTATGCTCTGGAGCTGTATTAATGTAATAGGCACATCACTTATTAATTAAAATAACTGCTAGTTGTATTACCGATTCAGTATGAAATGTTATTTTATTATGTAAAGTATAAAATATTTAAAAAATTTATGTATAAAATTATTCATGCAATAAAAATACATTTATATAAGAGTTATTTTTTTTATGTTATTGTATATAATTCTATATATGTAAATATCTAATATATATGTATATATTATTAAAACTTCATACATAATGTATATATGTAAATTTATGTGCGAATTTTTGGTTCCAAATTTATATTGGAATTTTGTTTGGTTTTCAAAAGAGTCATTTCAATGTTAGTTAATGAAAAAAAATTATATAACAATGTATATATATATATGTATATTGTACACAAGCAAAAATTTTCGAATAATAAAAATATATTTGAAAAAAAAAGTAAGCCATTTGGTTTAATTCATTTTATTGAATGTTTTTCATTAGAAAAAAAAATTATTTGCAAAAAAAAAAAATTCTTTTATAATAAAAAAAAAAATATATTTTTGTATATATTTTTTTTTCTTTGATTCATAAAAATTTAAATATAATTAAAAACTAAAGAATACTATTTAAAAAACAGCAAAATATATTTATCTATATAAATATATATGTATATTATATATATAAGAAATCGAAATACCTGCACTAGGAGATCAGTGTGTAAATTCTACAAAAGGGATATTTTTCGTATTATTTTCGTTTTCGAATTTTTTTATAAATTTTAATAATTAAAATATTAATTTAAAATTTTATGTATAAAATTGCTTTTTGGTATTTTTTTTTAAATTAAAAATAATATAATTGTTAAACATAAAAAAAAAATTATAAATTTTTTTAGTTTATTTCAAAAATTAATTTTAATTGAGATTAATATACAAAATTTCACTAGTTCAACTTTAAATTTTTTTAAAGGGTTTCTGCTCTATACATTAGGTTCGTCCAAGTATATTTTTCTTCTACAAAAAAGTTATTGTTAACTCACATTTCTATCTTGAACAGGTTGTTATTATAATGCATTATAATTAATCATAATGAATTATCAATCTTGGACAGAACTATTATTTAGTAGAAGACTGTAAATATTTTTAAAACTATTTATAATTATTGTAAATTTTATTATTATGTGAGATTTTTATAAGTGAATAAATTGCTTTCATTACCTATAATCAAACATTAATATTTAAATTGGCAAAAAGAAGTTCGCGATCACCAAAAATATGTGAATTTTAAGTCTAACTTAAAAATAATTGCCTCATTTCTGATTTCATCATTTGAATTGAACAGAACGCATTTATTGTATTTTACTAAAAATTTTGTATATTTTTCTCAATTTCCATAATATTAGGTGTGAATGATATTTTATAATATTTTTTTAGTTTTTCTAGTAATTCAAATAATCTTATTAAGTTTCTTTTTATTTTACAGATATCATTCAATGCTATAAGCTGTCAGGAAAAGTAACATAATATGGCACGCTTCTCAGTTTCGATTATTATCTAAAAACTTAATAATTTAATATGTAATACAAAATATGTTATTAATTAATTTTTTTTTGGTAAGTATACACATTTATGTTAATTTTCCACTGACATGCATATGACAAATTTAATATTTGTTAAATTTGTATTTAAATTATTGACATAAATTTTGTTTTTTTTTTTTAATTCTCTAACATTTTATTTTATATTATAAATAAATAAAGAGTACATTACCTGATGTGAATGTTGTCCGCTACATGCACCTCCAGAACACGCATTTGATCCAGGAACTTTTAATTGTTCATGTTTATAATCTGGTTGATATGGAAGCAACATACGAATTTTTCCCCAACGATTAAAAAATAATGCTATGGCACCAGCCCAAACCATAAGAACTATTAAAACTATACCAATTTCAACACCACGTATCTGAAATTGAAAAAAATATTGAATTTTCAAAGAATTTGAAGCAATCTGAAATTTGCTGTTTAATAAGTTTTTCTTTGAAGGCCACTTTAAGTTCCGTTGTAGGAAACAGAATAAGCCATTTTGAGAACAAAAAAATTTTATATGTGCTTCTGTTAAAATTATATGTACGTGCCTATTTCATTGTTATTAAAATCCGATATAGTTCCTATATATTTAGATGTAGATTATATGTAGATGGACACTAGATATTTCAATTTAGATTGCAGAGGAAATCTTCTTTAGAATTTAGAGAAAATAGTTAAAATTTTAATTTTCAGAAACTAAAATTATATTCATACTTTAATTGATAGTACAGCTTAATCAGGTTATTGCTCACTTTTATATTCAATGAAAACGGTGGGCTTTCGGCGGCAGTTCCAATCAATCATTTATAACTTTTTCTGGGTACACTATCAAGAAAACATTTATCTTTTATAAAAAATATTTTCGACAATAATAATTGTTTACTGCGAACAATAACATTTCAAAAAAAATCTGATGTGGTCAGCACATAACCGACCGCATTGTGTATTGTCTAGTTAAATGAAAGTGTTACAGAATATTGTAAAAATGTCTGTTAAATACTTCATTCCAATTTTCAGGACATTAGTAAGCTTATAGTTAACATACTTAGAAAAATGTAAATTTGGCTCTTAGTAGAGTTTCGCTTTGTGCTACCCGAATTCCCTGAAATGCTCGCCAGTTAGTTTCGGTAACAACCAGAACTCAAATATCAAATTTCAAGAAATTCCATCAATTTGTTCTGTGGATATGGTGAAAAATGTAAAATCGGCCCGCAAATCAGTTCTTGAGCCCTGATCTTTCCTAAAAAGTTATATGTTCATTGCTTTAATATAAGGAATTCATATATTAAATTTCAATGAAATCGGTTGATTATTTCTCTTTATATACACAAAAGTGTATGTTTGGCCCGTAGTAAACGTCTAGTTGCCGATGCCTGATCTTTCTAAAAAATTTACATGTTCATTGTTTTAATACGGGGAATTCTTATATTAAATTTCAATGAAATCGGTTGATTATTTCTCTTTATATACACAAAAATGTATATTTGGCCCGTAGTAAACGCCCAGTTGCTGATGCCTGATTTCTTCCAAAAGTTAGGAATTTTTGCGTATGATTGAGCAAAGCTTATGTATGAAGTTTCAAGTAAATCGGTTGAATACTTTCTTCAAAATGGTCAAAAATGTAAAATTGGCCCGCAAATCCATTTTCGAGCCCTGATCTTTCCAAAAAATTTATATGTTCATTGTTTTAATACGAGGAATTCATACATCAAATTTCAATGAAATCGGTTGATTATTTCTCTTTATATACACAAAAATGTATATTTGGCCCGTAGTAAACGTCTAGTTGCCGATGCCTGATTTCTTCCAAAACATACGAATTTTTGCGGACGGTCGAGCTGAGCTCATATATAAAATTTCAAGTAAATCGGTTGAATATTTTCTTCAAAATGTTCAAAAATGTAAAACAGGCCCGCTAAAAAGTGCAGTTCCCGAGGCCTGATATATACCAAAAGTTGATCGATCCGTGCCATGGTGGAAACAAACTTACATATAAAATTTCATCAAAATCGGTTCAGCCGAACTTGAGATACACGCGTGCACACACAGACCGACAGACCGACAGACCGACAGACCGACAGACCGACAGACCGACAGGTTGCTAAAAATAGTTTATTTACACTTCCCTACTATGGAGAAGTACGTTCCCACCGAAAACTCGATATGCAAAATTTGTTGCCATCACATAACCTACCTATTGTTAACACAATACGGTCGGTAATAAATAGATTGCTACGCATTCATAAGTGCAGCCTAGAAAACTTTATAATTTTTGCATATGACTCCACATATATGTGGAGTACAAATGCAAAAGTCAAAACCCAATGATATTCTTCTCTCATTGAAAATGAAACAATGAAACGCCAATGTTTTTAATAATTGTAATTTTGAATTTATGTGATTAACAATACAAATAAAACATCAATCAAATGTCATATTAAAATTCCTCCAAAAATGACATGTGAATGGCATATATGTATATTAATTTCTTTGTTTATCTTATATTTGCGCAAATAAACATCAATTTATTTATATGAATTATATAATTTATAATAATAATTCAAATGTTTATATAATATCATGCGGATTTCGATTTTAATATTATAAGATAAAAGTAGAGAAATCAAGTAAAAACCAACTGAATTGTACACTCTACACCTTGATAATCTTATTATAAAATTACTTGAAGCAACTTGGAAAAAACTTTAGGAAATTATATTTTTAAGTATTTGCAAAATTGTTAATTAATTTTAAAAGTTGTATGGAAACCACCACCAGTGAGCTAGCTGAAAAAATTTTTTGAGGTACATATGAATTATAATTCTTTACATGACAGCTATTTACATTCGCCAAGCCATTCTATTAAAACCTCTTGGATATATATTTGAGCCATAATTGGAAACACGACTGTCAAAGACCACACCTCCAGCGTACTATTTCATATACTCAAAATTTTCTTTTTGAATTGTATAACAGCTATACCCGAACCAGTTAAGCTGTATCTTAAAACTTTTATCACATTTTGGAATATTTAAAATAACATTTTAGAGTTGTATCGCCGCTACATAAATCCGTTGTTCGATTTGCAATATGTGCCCTCCTTTTTCACTTTTAAAAATGTGGTAGCGTTTGGTATTTTCGTTTATTAGTTATAGTGCGATCGAACGGAAAGACGAACCTGCATATATACATGTTTAATAAATCAACGCAAAATAGTACGCTAATCAAGAACATATATTAAGTACATTCATACTGCAGACTTCTCCTTTGAATTGATTCAATATCAAAGTAAATAAACATTAAGTTGTAGGGTATAACCAAAACATGTCAAATTTAAATAGTTTTTGCAATTTATTTATTTATTTAAAGCAAATCTATCTATAAATATTTGCAAATGTTAAAAATTTTTTAATCAAAACAAAAAGAAATTGTTTGGACAAAAATCGCCAATTATTTTTGGCAATTGTATAATATTTGTGTTAAAAATGGTAAACTATTATGGCATTGGTTGCTATTTGAATTAATATTTACAGTTTTGGGAAAATTATTCGTAATTTTCAGTAAGCCGGAACTTCAATTAAAACAATAGCATTCATTTGCCAATATTGCCCTCCAATCTTAAGTTGAAAGAAACAAGGAATTTTATATTTCTAAAATTTACATCAGAAACCAAAGTATTTTAATAATATTCACCATTATTTATATTGGCAATTAAATATTTTACAAAATTACATGACAATTTCTTTCTAGTTAATTTTTTTATGGATTTTAAAGTGTTAATAAAAACTACAAGAAAAAATTTCTGGAAACACTCAAGCATATTTTCGCAGGGATAACATAAATTCTGCATGTAATGTATTATGTATGAAAGTTTAGAAAACTATTTATGTCTTTCTAAATATTATTTTCAGTTTTAAGTACCAAAATCCCAGCTAAATAACTTTTATTTCCTTTACATAAGTAAACAATTTTATAACATTTTAATAGTTCTAAAATAATTTTTTTTATGGTGAAATAAAAGTTGCTCTATTTTGAGAATTGTAAAACATATCTAAAGTATAATAAATTTTTTTCTATTTAATACTTACCGGTGGAAGTTCGCGAACTGTTGAATTTGTTAAATTACTACCAACAGTTATCATGTCATCATGATAAATTCCCATTTGATGACCTGGTGGCATACCGGAATCTTGATGTGGTAAAATTTTAGGCGAATCTAATTTGTTGATTTTCCATAGGACAATTAAAGATGTTGCGAGAAAGAGAGAAATAGACACAAAAAATAAAAGGAATAAAAATAGTGGTTTTAAACATTAAAATGATTAAAAACGTAAAATGAACAAATAAAAGAATAATTAAATTAATGATTAAATCTTTTATTAAGAATATGGATGGAATAAGTGGGAAAAGGAAAATTAAATTTATTTAAAATGGGGGAAATATTGGTATATAAAGAAAAAAACTAGAAAGCGTAATTTATAATTAAAATAGAATTTTTGCTGATATTATTAAACTTTTTTATCATGTTAAATGCAAAGTGTATAAAAAAATAATTTTAATTGGATTTTTTCCCCGTTTTTACTTCTGTTACCCTATAAAAATTTTGTTGGTGGTAAAAATTTACCCACAGTTGAATTGTTTGATGACGAAGAAAGTTGTAACTTCATTATGAAAGTTGAAAAATTCAACCAAAGTTTTACATAAATAATTTTAGTCATAATTTTAAAAAGTGGAATGATTCAAAAAACAAATTCACCTTCAATTTAGAAGAACTGAAACTGGCTTTGTGCATTAAAGAAATTTGTTAATAAAATCGATAGTAAGTCCGGAATGACCAACAGATTAAGGTTAAAATATACTATTTTAAACTGACATTCTTAATTTTATCCAAATTTCTGATAACGATTAAGTTAAACGGCCATTTTGTCATTTCAATGTTTGGTTATGATGCTTGGGGTTAGAAGAAGCTATGAAGTCTACAGAATTTAAAAAATATTTGTAGGTTTTGATACAAGAAGTTGTCAAAAAATGACATTTTTTGGACTGCGAAGGATTATAATTTTTAAATTTTATTATATTATAAATTATGCGTTATTAAATAATTGCAAAAATAATTAACTAAATTATAAATTTAAAAAAAAAATTAAATGAAGATTATGTCAAAATATATTCACCTAAAGTTCTAAATACGATTTGTCTACTTCGATATTTTTTTCCTAGCCAAATAGCTGTTACTCCAATTGAATATTGTGTACTTGGTGATAAACGATCCAATATTACAGCCTCACTGTTGCCTGCGACTTGTTTAACAACCCTGTAACTTAAATTTGTTCAATTACCACTCTTTTGTTAATTTCTCTACGCAATGCAAGATGCAATATAAATTTTGCAAGATGCAATAACAAAATTAAAATAGAAATGAAAATATAAAAATATAAAAATAAAAAAATTATAACAAAAAATATTTTGAAATTCAATTGAAATTTCTGGAACAAAAAAAAAAAAAAAAAATAAATAAACTATCAGACATGCAATTTTGTAAGCAAAAATATTTATGAAGCGAAAAAATATTCGAATGCATTGGAAGATTAAACATAAACACATTAAAAATTAAAATGCATTTTATTTTCTGTAATAAAAATTTATTTTATTTGCAATTTTCATTAGATTTTCTTCTATAGTTTTGTAATCTTTTAAATTCTTTTAATTTCATTTAAAAGAATTTTTATTGATTATTTTATTGTTATTGAAGAATGAAAACACTTCAAGTTTACAATTTTCATCAATTAAAAATTTATTTGAAAAATAACAAGTAATTTATTTTAAAACGTTGCACTATACATTTTGTAAGAAATTACAAGCAAGTGCTTTAACAAGTTCAATGTCATTGCTTATGTTTAAAGAAAAATTTTTACTTAGGTTGGTTTTAAATTCATAAATATTTATACACTAATACTATGGGCATATAAGGTCGAATTTATTAATCATAATTATATAATGTTCATCATGTAGATTTGGCCATCTAAATTTTAATTTCTGTTATCTTAAGTTCAAAAGCAAAACCATATCTTCAAAAATTATTTAATTATAATGGTAGGAACGAAAGATATTATAAATTTAAAATACCGCTCAGAAAACTAAGAAAGAGGCTTCTGAGAAACATATACATACATAAATTGGTGCCTATATAAATTTGTCCATCTTAACAATAATTCATAAACGTATTGAACTAGGCTGATCAAATTTTCACAAATTACTCATAGTTCTTGTGGATCAAACCTTATTAAATTTTAGTTTGATCGAAGAATTGTTTCTAGTAGCTGCCATAAAATTCAAAAATAAATCGGTTATATATCTCAGGAATCTTTTCAGTTTAGAAAATTTTACAGTTAGAATTCAAGTATTGTAAATATGACTGCGGTAAAAAAGTCACAATTTCAATATAATTTTTGATAGTAGTTGTATAAAGTTCTTTAATAGCTGTCCTACAAATTTAAAAGTAATATTATGGTAATTTAGTAACATGGCCCCCATTCGAAAAAAAATGTTTGCTGGCAATCCAGAATAACTTTTGTTGCCTTTTGTAACCGTATCTCTTCGAAAAAGATTCACAGAAAATTTTATTCTTGTTAAAAATAATTCATAATTTAGTAAAATAAAAATTCTTCTAATTTACGGAAATTTTTTTCAAAATATTGGCAAAGGTTAAACATTATTCATATACATACATAAATTTTAATTCAATGCGGCTACTTTATAAATTTCCTGCTAATTAAGTAATATGAGTTTGCAAATTGAGAAATGAATTTATCGAGCTGTTCATAAGAAAAAACCTCAATCCAAAAGAAAATCTGCTACCTTCAAGAGAATAGCTGGGATCGGTATAAAAAGATTTTTTTATTTAGTGCTCGTTCTGACCTTCAAAATGGAACACATGTATGTGTGTATGTATGTTAACATGTTGTCCTTTTTTATTATTTCCATTTTAAAATACGCTATAAAATGTTTTTTTTTTCCAATTTGCCGACCTAAAGTTAGTGTATGTGTATATTATTACCAAGTTACAGATATTTTTTTAAATTTATTTTTTCATTTTTTTTTGTTTACTGTTTATTTTTAGAGAACTCAATTCATATTAATTTAGTTCTGATGGAATGCAAGTTTGTGAATTCAAGCGAAACAATTAAGAATTTATAGTTAAATGGAGCGCAAAACTGTGAGAGGAAATTTCGTTATATTTTTATTGATTATACAAGTTACATTCATCAAATGTACCAGTATATATTTTTTACAAGCAAATTTATACGGATGAATAAAAAACAAAATTTTATTGGTTTCTATTGGAGCATGTTTGTATTCATATCAACATAGTTGTGAGATTTTATTTGTTTTCATGTGAGATTAACGAAAACTAGAAATAGAATCTGTGTTTGCATGTTATATGGGTATAAAAAGAAACTGAAAAACATACAAATACGTTGTCGAACATATTACGTACGTTGTTAAGCAACATACACATGTACGTTTTGGAATAATAAAAGAAAATTTTTGTTAATTTATAAAGTATAACTAAAATCATGTTCTCCATGTACCTATACATAAGTAGGTATATAACAGAGTGTAAATAACATCTTTAATTCATAATACTTCAATTTTTACATTAAATCGCAACGACAACAGGCGTCTAATTAGAAAGTTTTCGAAGTTGTATATTTAAATTTTATGAATTCGTATTCAAAGATTTTTTCGAAGATTCCGATCTGGGTACCACAATATGTATAATTTAAAATTTCATTTTTAAATTTTTTTTTCGATTTTTATTTTGAAATTCAAAATTTCAATTGATTTTAAATTGAATTTTTTTTTTTTTTACTATTTATATATTTTTTTTTTTGATTTTACTGCCTAAAGCACAATTAATGGTAGAACACACTTGGGAAAAAATAATATTTTTGATACAAAATTTTCCCGATAGAAAAATTATAGAAAAATATTTTTCTGAAATGCAGAGTGTTTTTCCTTGTTAGTACACAATTCAGAGTTCTTGTAGATTTTTCGAACAAAAATAAAAAAGCAAACTAAATCCTAATTTTGAAAATTATGTTTAGCTCCTTTGTATAAGAAAATACTGTGCTTTTCACAATAATTTTTTAAAAAACCGGATTATATAATTGTTTCTTGTGGGAATTTTAATTTTCATAATTAATTTTATGAACTCTCAAAATATGTGCGTATTGTTTGCACATATATATTAATTTCTGCCTGTATATAAGTCACTATATGTAATTTCCAATCTGCAGTTTTTGTATCTCAGTTGCTTTAAAGAACTAGAATTTAATTTAATATGCATATACGCATATACATATGTGTACATGTATATAATATACGCATTATTTGTAATGTATGATGTGTATATGTAAGTACATATATTCAATTTATACGGATAAATTGAATGTATGTATGTATTGTATCTACAATATAATTTAAATAAAATAATATCCAAAATCTAAGCTCTCAGAATTGATTATTTTCATAATTTCACAAATAAAATTTGATTCAAAATTTAATTTAATTTTTTTATTTTATTCAATTAACAATCTTATTGTTCGTAGTGCAAATTTTATTTAAATAAATTATGAGATTAATACTTAAACTTTTTAAATAAATTATGTAGAACAATAAAATTAAATTTTGATAATTATTGGAATAAATACATTTGCTCTTTAGTTTATGTGACATAAATTGATTTTGACAGATAAAACAATTTTATAAAAAAAAATTGAAAAATTTTTATTTTTTGATTCATTAATGAGTTGCAATAAATTTTTAATAACATTTTATTGTACTGTCATATGAAGTGTGCGTATATATGGGCAATATACGTGACATTAATAAAAAATTACATAAAAAGACCTTAATTAAAATTACCGTTTTTTATTAATTAACATTTGAATTATATTATTCAATTATCATTCAAATTTATGCAATAAATTTTGTATTGTTTCAATCAATTAATTTTTCATTGTTAATTTATTTGAATTTATATTAAAAATTTGTTCTAATTAATTTATTTGAATTAATTTTAATAGAACAGCAAAATAAACAAGTTATCCTCAACAAATTCTACTCATTTACTAAAATATAATACATAGAATTTAAAATCAATTGTTGAATGTTCCATAATAAAGAATTATGCGTTCTTTATTTAATTTGTGTTTAATTATGTATGTTTTTCCCAAGAAAATCAATAAGAAAATTTCTACGATAACTTTAACTGTTATTTAAAAAAATAATTTAATTATTATTTAATAATTTTGTTTTATTTTATATATTTTTTTTTTTTCTGTTGTTGTTATTTCTTTTTTGTATGATATTTATCCATTATATAGGTATAGATTTTTATTTAAAACACTAAGAATAATTTAATATACTTAGTACAGTGTATAACAATTATTTTATAATTTACGCATTGTATTATATATTGATCAACAAATTAATAAATGTAAATTGATGTAATTTGAAGTAAGTTGAAGGTAAGAATGTGTATGTAAGTTTGTTATGAAAATTTTGTTATAACAAAACAGCAAATAAAATGTTTATATATATTATGACATCTGGTCTATCGCTTTCACAAATAGCATATGGTTAAAATATTTAAATTCTTATGGGATCTGTAAATTATATTACAGGTGAATCCTTTATTTTATTTACATACATATTATACGTACATAAGAATGTTATGAAAATAAATGAAATTTATTGAGGAGTTTGTTATCGGGTATATAATAAAATATATAGCATCAGTAGATTAGTAAAATAAGTGGCAGTGCTTACAAATGGAAAATTACGACGTGAAATTCAAGTTTTGAAAACGCTTTCTTAAATTGAAATCTATTTTATTTATAGGAAATAGCGGTGGGAATATTTCATAAAATTTTAGGTAAGTATAAAAGTTATAACAGAAATGTGGTTAATTTTTTGCATAAGTAGCTAAGGATGAATTTTTATTTCAACTCAAATTTTGAAAGGTAATATTTTTTGTTTAATTAAATATATCAAATAGTAACGTAATTCTTTCAGTTTTTTAATATGAAAGTAGTAATATTTTTAGCAAATAAATTCGCATTAACACAATGGTGTTTGAAGCACTATTTACAAACTTTACTTGAATTTTGTTTTTTTTTCATCGTGAAAATTCTTAAACTCTAAAACTCTTTAATGAGTTAGTGAGCTGGAAAGGTTTTGATGTCAGTTTAATTTTTTAATATCCACCATCCTCTCAAACCATGATCTGGGCATGATGTAATGAAATAAAAATGG